GCAGTGGGTCACCCGCTGACTCGCAGGAGTGAACTGGTGAACCCCCGTATCCTGCAGGTCAGCACCACTCACCAAGTTCGTAGAGAACGAGGGGATGTAAAGACCAGACAAGGTGCCAGAGGGGGCAGCCGGACACGGGAGGACAGTGGAGAAGTGAGAGAGGACAGGACCCCCAGAGGGGTCTGCCAGGGAGACTGCAACTGGCCGACCAAGCGGCGTGAGTGTGGTGCGGTCTCGAAAGAAGGAGCGAGAAGCCCCTCAGTCAAGTGTGAAGGTGAGGGAGGCCGAAGCCGACGTGGTACCTGAGAGCGCAGACTCACCAGCACCTGAGGGCGCCGACGCACTGGCACCTAGAGCAGCAGCCTCACCAGTACCTAGAGCAGCAGTACCAATGCCCGGGTCGGGCGGGAAACACCGGTAACAGTCACCCTCATCACTAATAGTCACAGCATACATGGCAGCAAGGATAGCATCAAAGTCAAGATCAAAGATAGCTACGCCTGCCCTAGACAGCTCTCCCCAACGGGGGATCTCACTAGCCTCCGGGAACTGCTGACGCCAAGCGTCTGTCAGGCGGCCAAAGCAGCGCTGGGTGGGGTGAGCACCCCCACACTGCTCACCCGCGCGGCCGCCGCAGCGGAGGACGTAGGTGCACGGGCCAAAACCCCCACCACGCTGACGCTGCGTGTACCACTCACGGAGCTGCTGAGGAGGGGGGATGTCCCGAGAACGCTGCTGCTGCTACTGCTGCTGACGCTGACCACTCCCGGAGCCGCTCCGCTGAGAAGCACCACCCCGACCAGCTCCACCTCCTCCACCACCGCCGCCTCCACCTCTGCCGCCACCGCCGCCTCCGCTCCCACCGCTACCGCCACCGCTGCCTCCGCCTCCGCCGCTGCCACCGCCACCTCCACCCCCGCCACCACTCCCACCGCCACCCCCACTCCCCCCGCCGCCCCACCCGCGCCCTTGCCCCCCTTGCCCTTGCCAGAGCGGCGTCTCCCGCTAGGGGCAGACGCCGCACCGACCGACTCAAGACCAACGAGGTTGGCCGCAGCAGCAGAGGCGACAGAGGGCAACAGGGGGGAAGGGGAACACCCCTCAAAGATGGGGGTGCGAGGGTCACCACGAGACGCTCCTACAGCGAGGATGCTCTTCTCCGCCGCTAGGAGGGCCTTCTCTAGGAGGTCAACAGTGAGAGTGGTGGGACAAACTGAGAGGAAGTTGTCCCTGACTACACGAAGGGAGTCAGGGAGGCGGGTGACTATATAATAGAGAGTGATGTACATGGGGGGGGGGTTCTTGGCGCAGAACTCAGCAGGAAGCGCGGCGCGGTAGCGAGTGTCACTAGTGCGGAGGTGCGTAATGAGGTCAGCGACTGTGGGAAAGGCAGCAAGGTCAGGAAAGAGGTACGGTAGCATGAGGCGGCTCAGTGCAGCAGTGGCAGGGGAGGAGTAGCGTGCAACGACAGCGTCGTACAAGGTCTGAGCACTCTTGTACTGGCTTTAGTGCGCGCGCTCAGTGGTAGGCAGGTGGCGACGCACAGCAAGACGTGCAGCAGCATCGCGAGTGGCCCACTGGGAGCAAACAATGGCGTCGGCATCGGCAGCTGGGGCTGGGGAAGCACCAGAGGTGAGGTCAAAGAGGGAATGACCGTCTGCCCTATCGCACTGTAGGAAAAGCTGCAGGTCATCCACCCAAACCTCAAAGTCAATGGCTCGACCCTCAGCGTCAAAAGCGAGAACACTGGGGGTAGCCATGACAACAGTGGACTAGCAGTACCTATTGTAGGACAGGGGCAGTGCAGTGACAGAAGCGGTGCTCTCACCAGGCAGGGCGGTTCGGGCAGCTCAGCGGTACAATAGCACGACAACACGGCTGCTCGGACGGCACTGCAGCAACTGCGGCTCCGTGGCACCAGCGGCTCGGCTCCTCAGGCGGCTCGGGCGGCTCAGGCGGCTCGGGTGGCTCGGGCGGCTCGGGCTGGTCGGGCGGCTCGGGCGGCTCAGGAGAGTCGGGAGGCTCGGGCGGCTCGGGCAGCTCGGGCAGGTCGGGCGGCTCGGGAGGCTCGGGCGGTTCGGGCGGCTCGGGCGGCGCGGGCGGTGTAGGGCGGCAGGGCCGCTGGTGCGAGGGACGGCTGGGCCGCTGAGAAGGGCGGCGAGGCCGCTGCGGAAGGGCGGCGGGGCCGCTGAGTAGGGCGGCGGGGCCGCTGAGTTGGGCGGCGGGGCCGCTGAGGAGAAGGGCGGCTGGGCCGCTGAGTAGGGCGGCGGGGCCGCTGAGGAGAAGGGCGGCGGGGCCGCTGAGGAGAAGGGCGGCGGGGCCGCTGAGTAGGGCGGCGGGGCCGCTGAGGAGAAGGGCGGCGGGGCCGCTGAGTAGGGCGGCGGGGCCGCTGAGGAGAAGGGCGGCGGGGCCGCTGAGTAGGGCGGCGGGGCCGCTAAGGAGAAGGGCGGCGGGGCCGCTGAGTAGGGCGGCGGGGCCGCGGAGGAGAAGGGCGGCGGGGCCGCTGAGTAGGGCGGCGGGGCCGCTGAGTAGGGCGGCGGGGCCGCTGAGTAGGGCGGCGGGGCCGCGGAGGAGAAGGGCGGCGGGGCCGCTGAGTAGGGCGGCGGGGCCGTTGAGGAGAAGGGCGGCGGGGCCGCTGAGTAGGGCGGCGGGGCCGCTGAGGAGAAGGGAGGCGGGGCCGCTGAGTAGGGCGGCGGGGCCGCTGAGTAGGGCGGCAGGGCCGCTGAGCAGGGCGGCGGGGCCGCTGAGGAGAAGGGCGGCGGGGCCGCTGAGTAGGGGCGGGGCCGCAGCGACGGGCGGCGAGGCCGCGGAGACGGGCGGCGGGGCCGCGATGCGGGGCGACGGGGCCGCTGTGACGGGCGGCGGGGCCGCACTAAGGGGCGGCGGGGCCGAAATGAAGGGCGGCGGGGCCGCTAGGGGAAGGGGCCGCTAGGGCGTAGGGGGCCGCTAGGGCGGCTCGGCGAGGTGAGAGCCCGGAGCGCGACTCGGGCGGAGCGCGCTTCGGGCAGGAAAAAAAAAATTGAAACTCGATGTGGTGGGCCCTAGGCACAGTTCCCAAGGGGGAACCTGTTCGATACCATGAGGAAAGTAGGACTAGAATGAATGACTAAGGAATGGAAGTGATACAAATATGCAACCCTAGAAATGTGTACCCCATATGGGCTACCCCACTATAGCCTACACAATATTATAATTTGACAATGAGAACTCCAACCACCATATCGCTGAGAGTAAACAGATTACCAAGTGTTATGAACACCCTCTGAACTTTAGCAGCTGCCGGTCTAAGTTGTAGTCGGTGGCAAAATCTCCACGGTCGAAATTTATTTGTTTGTTTGTTTGTTTGTTCTTTTGCTTATATGGGCTATACACCAGAACAGAAGTGTACAACACATAAACAGTCGTAACTGTTGCATAAGAAGCAGGGTGTGAGCCCGCCTCAAAAGGTAATGATCCCTGTACGTGGATCCGAGGCCTGTGTGGCATGCCCCATAGTGCTGCAAAGCCGTTTGACCACCGCCAGCTTCTGCCCTCCACTACTCGGATGCGATGCAGCAGATGTTGTTCTGTTTCCGTCAGATTGCGCCACCTGGCCTGTTGTTGCGTGCCACGCTGCTGCATTTTAATTGCTGAGGCATGCACGTAGACATTTACATGCATGCGTAGGGCCATCTCGATCTTCCGGAGGACCCGCCTCGCGCGGAACTCGCAGCCTCGAAAAGCCCCTTCACACCGTTCCGCCCACAGCTGGTGTATGGCGATAGCGATCAGGGACGCCTCCGGAAATGCTGACGTGGAGCTGGCTTTCCCGAACAACCAGTCCCCCAGCGATTCATCCTTTATGCCCGGGTTAATCATGCGCAAGGCCTTCTTCACCGCCGAGACTACTGTCTGGATTTTCGGGCACTCAAACAGACAGTACTCCAATGACTCTACACCGCTACAGTAAGGGCACACTGGCTTGCTACTGAGGAAGGCGAGCCTTTCTCCCACTTGAAGATTGAAACTGTATACCCTCAGCAACACATCCCTCGGACGGCTGGGGGTAACCAACGAGTCCCGATTTTCCACGGCCCGCTTCCAATCGATATTTCCTTTCCATCTTTCCGCCCATTTCCCCCGCTTGGCTTGACCGCTGTTGCTGTGTTTCCAATGTTTTTTAAGAGTCCGCAACGGCGCAGCTTCCCCGCCAACTAGGAGTTTGGTGCGGAGCTGTACACTTCCTTTTTTCCCTGCTTCATAGATCTCCGCAAACCCCACCTGCGGAAGCTCGGCTGAGAGTGTCAACAAATATAGTGGCAAAGAACAATATATTCTGTTGCTTGCTAGAATGGGTGTAGAAGGGTGTAGGTTGGGGTTATGCCATTCGGGTGTAGGGGATTCCTTGGGCCAGGGGAATGACGCGAAGTTGTTGGCATGGGGAATTGGGGGCATTGGGAAATGTGACAAGGCGCCTCGAGGGACAGGAAATCTACATTGACCAGTAAGGGCACAAGGCGACCCGAACCCAACTCAAGGTGATGGCAATTGCCAAAACTCAGAGTGGGAATAAAGTAGCCTAGCCTAGCCAATTGAGCCTGTTCTCTTGCTTTGTTTGCCTCATAGAGTGGATTGAAGTTGCCAGTTTAAGCTAACTCCAGCTAGGTAGCTCTAAGCCACTGTGGGCAGCCATGGGGTGGGAGCACGATTCTCTCACAAAGCGAGAGAAGTTGGCCGGCGACATGGATCGCCACGATCTGCACATGCAGCGGACGTACGCGCGGCGGGAGCAATCTCCGTCGCGGATGAGGCGCTCCAGGGAGCGTGGGAGATCGCCGACGCGCTCGTCCCGTCGGGCGACGTATTGCGCGGATCCGGTGACGCCAACGGACGGGCGACGAGAAGGAAGCAGGGAGGATGTAAGCGTCAGATCGGAGCCTTGGAGGCGTCCCACAACGAGCAACCCGTGGAACCTGGCCGGAGGCCAGCACGGAGGGGATGGAAGGCGCCAAGCCGAAGACATGGACGTGGATCCGGCGGGCAAGCAGGGTGAAGAGGAAGGACGAGAAGATACCCTGCTTGCACGGGGCAGCGGAAGGCATGTCAACGCCAACGACGAAGGTTCCCCCACTGCGCGGGGCGGCGGAAGGCATGTCAACGCCAACGACGAAGGTTCCCCCACTTCGCGGGGCGGCGGAAGGCATGTCAACGCCAACGACGAAGGTTCCCCCACTGCGCGGGGCGGCGGAAGGCATGTCAACGCCGACGGCGAAGGTTCCCCCACTGCGCGGGGCGGTGGAAGGCATGTCAACGCCGACGACGAAGGTTCCCCCACTGCGCGGGGCGGCGGAAGGCATGACAACACCGACGACGAAGGTTCCCCCACTGCGCGGGGCGGCGGAAGGCATGTCGACGCCGACGACGAAGGTTCCCCCACTGCGCGGGGCGGCGGAAGGCGTGTCAACGCCGATGACGAAGGTTCCCCCACCGCACGGGGCGGCGGGAGGCGCATCAGCGCCGACGACGAGGTTTTCACCACTGCGCGGGGCGGCGGAAGGCGCAGCAATGTCAACGACGAAGGTTCCCCCACCGCGCGGGGCGGCGGGAGGCGCGTCAACGCCGACGACGAAGCTTCTCCCACTGCGCGGGGCGGCGAGAGGCGCAGCAATGTTGACGAAGGAGATTTCCCAGCTGCTCGGAGAGAGGGGAAACGAGGGGACGCCGGAAAGAGAGAGCAGGAGCAGAGCCAAGGGAAGAAGATGCAGGAGTATTACAAGGGAGGCGAGACGGAAGAAGGCTCACCTATGAGGCGGCGAGGCGAAAGTGCGCCGCGAGGGAGGGTCCAAGGTGCTGGACAGCAGTACAAGGCGCAGGCGGAGGGCGGAAGAGATCAAGAGGCGGCACCAGGTGCATTTCGTTCGCCGGAACCAACGCTAGGGTACAATCGCCAGCGACGCATGGCGATGGGTGAAGGGAGGAGGCCGAGTCCACAGCGACAGCACGGACGGGAAGAGTATGTGGGGCGACGCCAGAGAAGCCCACCTGAGCAAGAGCGGAGGTATGCCGAGGAAGGAAGGGGCAGGGATGGGGGCCGGCAGTCACAGTATTGTTCGAGGGCGGAGGAGAAGAGATGGGTGAGGAGAGAGCAAGAAAGGCGGCACCAGGGGCGTTCGCCCGCGGGGAGGGACAGGATATGGACGGAGGGGCGCAGAGAAAACCTTGAGAGGGACAGGAGGAGGAGCCCTAGTCCTATAGGGCCAAGGAGGCAATACAGAGAAGAATCGGCTGGAGCAAGAGCGGCGCGCGAAGGGTTGGAGCGAGTGCTGTACGGGACCAGCACGGGGAGCAAGGGAGAAGGAGGGAAGCAGAGAAGAGGCACACCTGTAGAGCAAGGAGACTCAGGAAACTGGGAGACAGGCAGGTGGGGCACGGCAGCACCGCCAAGAGTGGAGGTGCCGGTACGCTTCACAGGGAGCGAAAGCACGGGTCCAAGCCTCAAGAATTACTTGATGCAGATAAGCAATGTCAAATACAGATGTGACAGGAGTGGGATGGACCCCATTGACTTTTTCCTAAGCTTGCCACACACGCTAGGGGGAGAAGCAGAGACATTATACCGCATGAAGATTAGGGAGTGGCTGAGGAGGGCAGAAGAGGACGGCGAGGATCCAACCCTGCTGTTTTTGGAGCGGCTAAGGAAGCAGTTTCCCGGGCATACAGCCGCGCGTATCAAGGAGTTCCAGGAGTTTAAACGGAAGGATGAGGAGTCGTTACTGACATACTATGGGAGATTGATGAATCTGGCGGAGGACGTGGTGTGCACGGACCACAGCATGATCATTAGCAAGTTCTTGAATGGGTTGGATAAAGGGCTGGCAGGAGGACTGAGGATGAGGGTCTACGAATTAGGAGCTGACGCAACGCCGGAAGAAGTATTTGAGCTGGCGGAGAGAGTGGAGCTGGCGGAGAGGAAGTATGAGGTGTACCTGCCGAGGCCGACAGAGAAGAGGAATCCCGCGTGGGCTGCAGCAATGATACATGAGACAGGAGGAAGGGAGGAGAGTCGGCAGGAGAGAGGGGCTGAGACACGCACCTGCCACAGATGCAAGCAACCAGGGCACTTGGCGAGGAACTGCAGGAATTGCGACACGTGTGGGAAGCCGGGACACAGGCGCAAGGACTGCCCGGATGCGCCAACCTGCGAGGTTTGCGGGAGGCGGGGGCACAAGGGGAAGGACTGCTACCAACGTACGGGAGGGCCGAAGAGGACGCCAGAGGAGATTGAGAGCCAGATAGGGAGATTGCAGGCACAGCTGCAGGCATTAGGAGGGAAGAAGGAGAAGGAGGCAGGGTTATATGCACGAGAGGAGGATGACGAAGCAGAGGTGATAGAGGAGCCAGAGCCGGAGTACAATTTTATGGTGCTACGCAGCCGAGGGGAGTTGGGCCTGCGCAGCGGGGGCAAAGATGGGAGAAAGGAACACATAGTCAAGGAGAAGGGCAGGCCAAGGCGGGAAACAGAGGAGGACTGTGGGGAGGAGGAACCAGCCAGGCATCCCAAGGAGCGGCTAGCCAGTCAGGCGACAGTGCTGATGGCAGGAGCAGGGACAGTGGCAGTAGGAGGGGAAATGGCAAGAACCGCAATCTTAGACACGGGGGCACAGAGTGTGATGTTGGGGAAGCGGCTAGCAGAGAAGCTGGGGTTGACAGGGCCAGGGCAGCACATAAAGAGGGGAATGCTGGTCATGACAGCAAAAGGGGGTGAACCTAAGTGGTTGCCGTGCACCAAGAATCTAGTGGAGATCGTCCTGATGCCAGGGAGGGAGGAGCAGACCAGCATAAGGCTGCAGTGTGGGATCTCTGACTCAGAAGACTTTGATGTGTTGCTAGGCACGGACTTGATTTGGGGCGTGGGGATGACCATTTGCACATGGAAAGAAAAGGTGAAGTTTCGGAAGCAATATTGGGTGCGGGGGAGCAAGACAGGAGAGTTGCCAGTGTCATTCGTGAAGCAGGAGCCGAAGAGAGCGTACACGGCTGAGCAGACGGGGACAAAGGGGAGAGGTAGAGCAGGACTCGTAGGCAGAGCAGCAGCGGCCAACGCATGGCAGGAGCCAATAAAGCTAGTAGAACTGTTTAGGGGAATCGGAGCAGGGTTAGCGGCACTGCTCAAGGTAGGGGTGGCAGTGAAGGAGTGGATATATGTGGAGAGTAACGAGAAAGTGAGGAAGATGGCAGAACATTATGCGAGAAAGCTGCAGCAGGAGTATCCTGAGTTACTGGATGAGGCAGTGATAGAGAAGGCCATGCAGGGGAGACTGACCGATGTAAGAAGCATCACGCGAGAGATAGTAAGAAGTTGGGGGCATGTGGACCTGTTGGTGGCAGGATGGGAGTGTCAAGCCGTGTCGAGAGCAGGAAAAGGTAAGGGGCTGAGCGATCCAAGAGGCGCGCTGCTTGTGAACTTGCTGTGCATCATAGATTGGATTAAAGAGGGACAAGAAAAAGTGGTGTACCTGCTGGAGCACCTGGATTTGGAAGGGGATTGCAGGGAGCCGGTGAGGAAGGTACAGGAGTTGGTGACAAGGAAGCTAGGGAAAGGGGTGAGATGTGATGCGGCTAGGCTGGGGGCACGGGCGCATCGTGTCCGACGGTACTGGCAGAATATTGTGGCAGATGAGCAACTGCAGCAGGAACTGGACGGGATACGAAGGGATTGGGGCAGGACGGTGAGAGAGATTTTAGAACCGGGAAGGACAGCAACGCCTGTCAGGAAGGGCAGGCATGAAACACAGTGCCCGTGCAACAAAGTGGGGGCAGAGCGCAGGGCCTGGCCGACCTTAGTGGGATACGAGGGAGCAGCAGGGTTCAGAGAGGAAGACGGGATGCCAGGGGAAGGCATGGTGTACGACAGCAGGACGAAGAAATGGGAGGAGCCGACTGCGTTGGAAAGGGAATTGGCAATGGGGTACGGAGAGGAGGTAACAAAGGCAGTAGGGGTGACGGAAAGGGAGAGGAGGAGGGCATTAGGACAAGCCATGGACGGCCAGGTTATGCTGTGGCTAGTGCGGCGGATGTGGAGAGGGTTAGTGCTGGAAGAGGAAAAAGAGCAAGGGAGTGAGGGGACAAGGGTGAAACAGGTGGGGGCATGGGCATGCATGGCAGCCGAGGAAGAGCCAAAGTGGGTTGTGGGGAATGCAATGAGTGAGAAAGGAAAGGAGGCAATGCAGGAGGTGCTGGCAAGGTACAGGCACGCCTTCGCCTTCACCTTACAGGAGTTGGGGAAGTGTTCTGTGAAGGAGATGGAGTTAAGGCTGGTGACGGACGAGCCGGTGTTCCAAAGGAAGCGGAGGATGACACATGGAGATGAGGACATTTGCAAGGAAAAATGCAGGGAGCTGATGGAAGCACGGCTGATACAGAGATCAGAATCAGAGTACGCGACACCTACTGTGGTAGCTGCCCGTAAGGACCTGCTAGGGGAAGTGCTGAGCAGACGCATGTGTGGGGACTATCGAGCACTGAACAAAGTGACAGTGCCCGACAGGTACCCAATGGCCACAGCGGAGGATATCTTTGACCGACTGGGGGCAGGAGAGATCTTCAGCACACTAGACTTGAGACAGGGGTTCAACCAGATCAGGATAAGGAAAGAGGACGTGCGCAAGACGGCGTTCCATGGGGCAGATGGCTTGTACGAGTGGCTATTTATGCCGTTTGGGCTGAGAAATGCGTCGGCCATCTTTCAGAGAGTGATGGATAGCGTGCTGAGGGGACTGGAGTGTGCGGCATGTTATATAGACGATGTAGTGATTTTCAGCAGAACGGAGGACGAGCACGTGAGAGATGTGGAGCAGACACTGAAGGCGTTAGCAGCAGCTGGGCTAACATGCCATCCGAAGAAATGCAGGTGGGGAGAGGCGACTGTGCACTACCTGGGATATGAGGTCAGGGGCGGGCAGTTAGGAATTCAGCAGGCGAAGATTGAGGTCTTGAACAGGCTGCAGCAACCAAAGGACAGGAGCGGACTGAGGGCGGTACTAGGATTCCTGAGCTATTACCGCAGGTTCGTCCCGAATTTCAGCAAGCGGGCCGCACCGCTGAACGGGTTGTTGAAGGAGGATAGGAAGTGGGAATGGGGGATGGAACAGGAAGCAGCGCTGAATGACCTGATGGAGGCGGTACAGACGGCAACAATCCTGCAGTTACCTAGGGCCGATAAGCCCTTCTGCCTGTATACCGACTAGAGCAGTCAAGGCATGGGCGCCATCCTGTGTCAAGAATTGGACGGGGAAGAGAGAGTGGTGGCGTACGCAAGCAGGAGCTGCAGCCCAGCGGAAGCCAAGTACAGCTCCTACCACGGGGAGGGGTTGGCAGCCGTGTGGGCTGTGAAGCACTTCAGGGTATACCTGCAGGGGAGGGAGTTTACACTGATCACAGACCATCAGCCCCTGCAATGGTTGATGACACACCAAGGGCTGACAGGGAGGAATGCGCGTTGGGCCGTGACGCTGCAAGAATACGACTTTAAGATACGCCACAGGCCGGGGAAGACCCTGCAACATGTGGACAGGCTCTCAAGGAACCCGCCGGCAGCAGAGCCAGTGCACACTCTGATGATGCTGGCGAGGCAAGGGGAGGAGGCAGCAGCAGGGAAGAAAAAGGGACCAAAGGACATCTGGGAAGATCCAGCAGCGCTGCGATGTATTAAAGGAGAAACCGATGAGGATGAGCAGGTCTCTGACAGGGTGAGGGCGAGGGGACACCATTACCGATGGTATCAGGGGCAGCTGCAGTTGCAGTCAGCGGACGGGTGGAAACTGATACCTGCACCACAGGAAAGGGAGGGACTGATTAAAGAAGTGCACAGGAAGCTGGGGCACTTTGGGCACGAGCGCACAACGGAATTGTTGAAGACAGGCTGGTGGTGGGAGGGAATGAGAAGGCAGGTCAGAGAATGGGTCAGTGGATGCAAAGGGTGTCAGAGGAGTAAGGCCAGTCTGACACAGGCGAAGCTGGAGCTGCAGTCACTCCCGATAAGAGGGTTGGGGTTCAGGTGGTCTCTGGACATAGCTGGTGAGCTGCCGCTGAGCAGGGGAGGCAAGCGGTATATACTGCTCATGGTGGAACACGCAAGCAAGTGGCTGGAGGTGTGTGCGTTGCCCAGCAAAGATTCCAGGCACGTGGCAAAAGCGTTCAAGGGACAGGTACTGTGCAGGTTTG